GGCTAGCATATTGGGCGAAAAGATAGAATTCCAATTTATGGAAAATGTGAGGGACTCGACTAAGCTGAAAGTGGTAGCAAAGACTGCATTTCACATCGCAGTGCCATGATGAGGGAGGGGTTTGGTAACGAACAGTAGCCTTCAAAGGCACTATTACGACGGAACTATTTTGTTAGATGCGCAAGGCACGATAATTTGGTACATGCTCAGAAGTGGTAGCAGGGCTATATGAAGCGAAGTTAAAGGGCCAAAAAACTGCGAAAACAAACTTGTTCTTCATAGCATCTGACGTGAATTTTGGACGAGTTTCCCGCTGGCTTCGTGCCAGCAACGCTTTGATAGATACGGCTGCACGTATGTATTCATATGTCCATGTATCCATGTAGTAACGCTTGTACTTCATTAGAGGAAGCGATAGGAGTGCCAGCGTCAACGTGACTGAGCGGCTTTAGTGGGCGGGGTTGTTGTGGGCGTGTGGTGTTGCACCTTGGCTGGGCATTATAACGGTGCAATTGGCTGGGAAAGGCACCTTGCAGCGCCTTCGCAGAGGCGCTGAATTCTTATCTGCTAGGCGTATTTATCCTACAAGCCTTGTGGATTTATCGCGCCGTTTGCCTCTAAAAAGGACAATGTAAGCCTGGTCTAGCTAGAGGCAAAAGTTTTGAACACATCATGGTGTTTCGCTCTTCTGAGGGTTGCCATCCAGATGTGATGAAGAGATCAGCAACTTTATTTAGGTCGAGTTCTCGTACCCAAAACTGAATGGCAACGGAGAGGGAGGGTTACCAGATGAATGGATCCACCTTCCGTCTCTTGCCCTTCCTGATGGTGCTCACAACACTACTGATGGTAACAGTTTCATAATTCTGTAATACTGGAGACCTTGCTCTAGGCTCTAGTGTGTGGTAAGGCATAACAAGAAAAAGTTTCATAACAGAGATAGTGCATACCAGAATTAGTTTTGCTGTTTTCAGATGTAATATTTTTCGTACTACCATCAAGAGAGAATCCGAAAGAAGCTGTATTCGGGATTTCTTGCTATCGTCAAATTGCTGCCAGTGTAAGGTTTTATGTAAATAATGAAAATTAATGCAAAAAAGTTTTTCAGCTCCTGAGCAATGGTTTAAGCGACCAACTTACCATCCCGGGAAAGTAGAAGGCTTGGGTTGACCTGGGCGAGAGCCGGGATTTGATCACTGGGACGTGCGCGTGGCGGGTGCCACTTACCACTACACTACCTCCTCCTCAATGCAGCATACAGCAATACATTATTCACAAAGATGGTAAAGAAGTCCTCAGCGGCAATATAGGTCTTGAGTCTGTTCCCGACTGGCGTTAATGTGGGCCACTGGAGTGGTTGACTAAGAGTTTCATTTTTTTTTCATGGAAACATTGAGAGTGTCCAAAGGAATATTGTTTTGAGCAAACTTTCTTCCTCAAAAATAGGCTGAACAGATCATTCACTGTTCGATGAGCAAATGGCTATCGATTCTATCATATCTCAGAGTCATGAATTTACAGAGCCGTAAATTACCTCCGATCTACAGAGCGTAAATTACCTTGATCTCCTTGCAGGATCTGGTAGCAAAATCAGATGATGTGACGAGGAGTACTGTGCAGAAGAGCGTATGCGTACTTTCTCGAGCTCCGCTTTTCGGAGCTTTGAAGGCAAAACTGGAGCTCATAACTCGTGCGTATTTCGCTGAACGAGATTTTAGGAAGGTAGGACTTTCTGGCATTGTTAGAAGAGGAAGAGATGTTCTGCTAACGTCTGTCATACCAGGTGGAAGTCCTCTCACAGATGTACTCGAATTTGTGCGACATGTTCAACGGAGAAACAGTTGATGGTCAAGCTACTTGTATAGGTGAAAAGCGATTAAGGAAATTAAGCATCGCATTTAATAATAGGGATGGCATCATGAATTTCAGATATCTCAGTGCAGGACCTTTTCGTCCGGTTTCGTCATCGAACACTCATTTTGTTCAAGCTGTTACTACTCGAAAGAAAGGTTAGTTGGACGTTATATATCTTGCCGCCACATTGCAGAGCGGAATAACATTGAGTCCTGATGAACTCACTTTGGCTCTCCAGAATTATTCCATAATAATAACGCATTAATACACTAGAGAATCATGAAAGCGTTAGGGATACGTAGCCGTTATAACTACCTTGTCCTTCAGCAGCCTTCTTCTTTGTAAGGGAACCACTTTGAAAGACTTCGAGAATGACCTAGCTGTATCTCTTGGCTCGGAACCAAATAGTATATGTAACGAGGCAAATCACCTCGGGTGGTGGCGCATGTAATATTCATTGATGCCATTCATTGTGATGTATTTTTGACTCAGAAAAGGGTTCCGAGATGTTATGAACTTCTGGGACGCCTTGGTTGATCCAGTCGCTCGATCTTCGGCTCTCCGATTCTTCTATTCCTTGATTCTCCGCTTCTCCCCATGCTTTATGCTTTCTGCCCATCACTCAGCGCTATTGTGGTAACTTTCGGAGCGCGCGCTGCGTCAAACAGCAGTTATCGTAATAGGAAACTTCAAAACTTGTAAAGCCTTCGGCCTCGCGGTTCATTGCCGATATCGGCTGACCGGCTCACCACGTTAGACGTGTGGATGCTGGAAGGTAATTGCACAAAAAACCACTGAGCTGTTGGTAAGAGGGTAAGCGTGACCGCGGCAAGCGTAATGGATAACGCACCGGTCCGGTAAGCGAGAGATGCGTTTTCGCGTCCCGTGCGTGCGTGGTCTGACTTTTGCCCATAACCCAGCACTGTTGCGATACCGTATGCTTTCCTTTTAGTGGATTGCCCTTTTTCCAGGTCCACGATTCCCTGATTTTCTAGTGTCACACTATCATATAGTTTGAGTCTAAAACTCACAACAAAATTATCTTATGCCTTTTCGGTAGTAACTCTCAAAATCATCGAATTATTGGTGTTTTGCTGTGGTTATGCTTGTTTTGTTGCATGTTCTTCGTTGCATGCTGAATCATGGGATCTGTG